TGTACTCCCCCACAGCTTTTTTTCAAAGAAATTTTTCTCCCTGCCCCTCCCTCCAGGTCAATTTTGGTCAGGAAGATTTTTGCACTAAAATATATATGTATAAATGGAGTTTTTCATGTTGATTCCGAATATCATATTTATTTTGATTTATCATTAGGTCATACCAATGCAAACCGCCTAAAATGTTCAGATTCTATTGAAAAATCACAAAAAACTGCAAAAAATTCGACAGTTTAAGCCTTTTTTTGCATCAAAGTGAGACTTTTTTTCAAACATTTTTTTTATCATTTTGTAGAGAATAAAAAGTTACACAACATATATAAAATTCAGTCTGGGGACTCTTGACCCTGAAACACAACAGGAGATACACTGTTTTATTTGGACTGATCAAAATGACCACCTTTGACTCATATTAGCTTTATAAAACTAGAACTGTTAGAGATCATATTATATCAAAATAGCTTATTTTATTCAGCTTTTAATTCTCTATTTTCCTATATATACCGTGAAAATTTGCAACAATCTGTTGAAACCTATGCTGGTACATCTTTTATAGAATATGTTTTCTTTTTTTTCCCAAAAAGGTGCGATAGTGTTAAAAGTCGGTATTGACTAATTTTTCATAGGAAGGATATTAGAACGTAAAATTTTAGGATTAGTAGTTTTAGACATTGAAGTTTTGAAAGAGCAAAATAAATTCAAAAAAAATATTTTATCGAGTGCGTCGTATATTGGAGCGATGCTTGATCAGCTCATGGAAGCTCTCTTAATAATACTAATTAAAAAAGATACAGTTATACTAAGTGAAAATGTACTGTATAGAACACCGTATGACATTGTCACTGGATTGTATCGGGATGCAACATAAAGGAACAGTAATTACAGACTGAACATTATCGTAGTTCAACCGAATGCAGTCAATTACATTGTATATTTTTAAACCTTCGTATGTATTTTCTGATAGTCAGCGTAGCTCGTTAATATTTCTCGTTGGATACCTACATACTTGCTATTGAACAGTTATGAATAACGAATAAGACATGTACATTCGGATTAATGCTTCTATGATTAGTGTACATTTATTGAACGAGTTGCATCCATCAGTCACAGTGAAGTGAAGAACAAATAGTAAGATTTCGTTTTTCTTTATTGTAAACCTTTTCTCTCTCATGATGGTATGGACTTGTGTCGACAAACTGTAGCAACAAAAAGAATACATGTTTTATTTTCATAGTGGTTCTCTTCTTCGAGTTTAATAGAAACTTTTCTATTTAGTTTGCTTCGAACAACAAATGATGTGTGGTATAAAGTTTCTTTATGTGATATTTTTGCATGCGATTATCGCTGGTCCTCAAATCAATCTTCATCATACAAATTTGGTAGAGGAATCTGAGAATGACGTTGGAACACATCACCATTGTTTGATTGTGGAAGCTTCAACTGAGAATAAACATTATTCTCGTCAAATTACTTCGTACTGCTTGAGTGAATGGCCATCGAAATGGAACATACAAAATGATACTCACAATCAAATATTTTCTTTTGTGGAACTCAATAAGCAAAATATTACTAGTTATCATCTGTACCTATGGTCGGCACCAATTGATATTATAGAAAACTATCAGTTATATTTGAACCAACTATCAATTTCTTATGTAACATCACAAGGGACACAGCTTTTCTACAATTGTACATTGCCATTGTTTGGTCCGTTGTGTCAATATTCATTTGATTACTATGAATCTGATTATTCATCACTAACTGAGATGATTCATAATTTCTATCGAAACAACCCATACGAACCGACTGTATTTACATGTTACACTCATTTGAAATGCAATCGAGGTCCACATCCATCATGTCTCGATTGGAGTGAAATCTGTGACGGAAAAGTAGATTGTCTCGATGGTGGTCTCGATGAGCAAAATTGTTGGCAACTGGAAATCAACAATTGTGGACCTAATGAGTATAGATGTGTCAATGGACAATGCATCCCACTCGCATTCTTATCTGATGATGCTGTAACTCCTGATTGTCTTGATGAATCTGATGAAGTGAAAATTATCGGTAACAGACTCGATCAGTGCGATAGTGCTGAACCAACTATTAAATGCGAAGATATTAAATGTTCCTCCCGAATTCAGAGCAAAATAAAAATGCCAGTTTTATGTGTGCCACAACGCGCTAACTTACTACTACAAGCAATGTTTTCGATTAAACCAGATTCTGTATCTGATCTTTGCTGGAAATTTTTGATGTGTCTTCTTCATGTATCCATATTTTATGAAGATCAATACTGTATTCGCTTTTGTCAGAATATGGTTTGTTCTAATATAATCCAGCGTAGTTGTCCAGATATGCTGTTAGTACCAACTGCTCCAGTGCTATTTGGTCACATTTATTTTGCGTACTCAAAATATATGCCTGATGATTGGCTATCACTTCCAGCAGCACCTCAATACGTATGTTCAAGTGATCAAGTTTTTATAGAACACTTCATTGTCAAACCGCATATTATATTCAATAATGTTACATGTTTCCAACCTTCAGATATTGGTATTATTTTTGAAACAGTTACACGAGGAAGTATTAATAATTATATTAAAAATGCGTATGTTGGACTGTTGGGATACAATCCAATAGTAACTAATGATTCGATACATTGTAAGAGACCAAATATGTATCAATGCGTCAACTCCACCAAATGCATCTCGAAATTTCGTCTAAATGATAACAGGATCGATTGTTTTTATCGTGATGATGAACAGATGACTGTGATTAATGGCTCTTGTTCAATGGAACCATATAAAAAACCCTTCATTTGCAGTATTAACAATAGATGTATTTCATATGATCGTATTAAAGACACTGTGTGCGATTGTGAAAAATATGATTTTGGTTTATGTGAAGATGAAAGACCCGATGAATACTATGCTATTAGTCACATCTCGTTTCAAACAATATGTGATGGATTTGTTGAACTCTGGCCAGTAAATATCGATGGTCGAAATGAAACAGATGAAACAGAATGTGAATGGTGGCCATGCAATAACACTTATACACGTTGTGATGGCATCTGGAACTGCTTCGATGGAGCTGATGAAGTCGATTGTGATCGTTCACACTTAATTCATTGTCCTTTGCAACATCACGTGTGTGCTTCGCCTGAAACGAATCAATTGACATGTCTGCCTATTCAAAAAGCAAACGATGGCAATATTGATTGTATTGGTGGCACTGATGAGTCAAAAAAATGTCGGTCAAGTAATTATGTATTCGCTAGGTTTGATTTTAACTGCATGAACGATATCGATAATCATTGCTTACCTGTTGAATCGACGTGCAATGGTAAGAAAGACTGTCCGCATGGAGATGATGAACAATTTTGTAACTACACGAAGTATGATTGGATTACATATGGCATTTGCTCAAGGTATAATGAATGGATACATTCAGATGTAGAGAGCTTTATTTGCAACTGGTTTTCTGAAACTAATAAACAAAAAATAGTACATTTTTCACTTGATAAACTTTCGAAGCTGACGAGTAACGATACTAAACATGATAGAGTAGCGCTCCAATCTAGTTCGTCAATGATTCGAACATTTCATCAGCATCATCATCGTTGTCATCGTGGTCTTGACGTGCAAGTATGGCTGAATCGTAAAAAGAACTTGACTGCAATGACTTGTCTCTGCCCACCTAGTTTCTATGGAGACATGTGTCAATATCAAAATCAACGAGTGAGTCTTACTATGAGATTTCAAGTTTTGTCTGATGCATGGAGAATACCTTTTGTTCTTCTTATCTCACTTATTGATGATAGTGACGATCGAGTCATTCATTCCCATCAACAATTCACGTATCTACCTATGAGAGACTGTCAAATCAAATTCAGTGTCTACCTATTCTATTCAACTCGACCGAAAAATCATTCGAAAATCTATTCAATACATATCGATATTTATGAGAAGATCTCATTGGTCTATCGAGGAAGTTTTCTTCTACCACTCACTTTTCCTTTTTTGCCAGTACATCGTATAGCTACTGAACTAAAAATTCCATCTAGTCAAGTAGCACCTAAAATTTGCTCAAATCAGCAATGCCTTCATGGTCAATGTATCGAATATATCAATACACTAACTACTACTACTTTTTGTCGATGTCATCAAGGATGGTCTGGAAAATTATGCACGATTCCGCACAATTGCACATGTTCATCAGATTCTCTATGCGCTGGTTTCTCATATACAAATCGATCGATATGTGTATGCCCAATTAATCGATTTGGACCTCGATGTCTTCTCACCAATCCAGTTTGTCAATCGGGTCTAAATGGAACATGTGACAATGGTGGTCAATGTATTTCTCAAGATGAATACATACATTCTGAAAAGAAACACACATGTATTTGTCCGAAAGGATTCACTGGAGAAAGATGTGAGATTCCTGATACTAAAATAATCATATCATTTCACAAAGATATTTCTCTACCCCAATCGATGCTTGTTCATTTCATTCAAGTAGTTAACAATTCTCCACCTGAACGGGCAACTACTTTCAAAACTATTCTTATCCAAAAAGATTCAGTCACTGTTCAATGGTCGCGTCCATTTCATATTATGTTTGTCGAGCTATTACACAAAAGTTACTATTTGATAGTTGCTCAAAATACATACAATCAATCGGCAATTATCAATAAGATTATAAATCCATCAGATAGGTGTGAAAACATTAGTGAATTTTTCAATGAAACTATTGTTAACTGGCATCTTCTTCGCCGTATCAAATACTATCATCTACCGTGTCATCAAAGACAATCGTCACATAATCTATCATGCTTCTACGATGATGTTCATCTTTGTCTTTGTGAAAACTATGGTAATCAACGTTTGGCCAACTGCTTTGAGTTCGAACATAACATGAAATTCGATTGTTCTGGTCAAAGTGGATGTGAAAATGGAGCTCGCTGCTTCCAAGATAGTCCTCTTTGTGCTCAAACATCGATTTGTGCATGCCCAGCATGTTTTTATGGGAAACGATGTCAATTCAGTACAAGCGGGTTTGGCGTTTCACTCGATGCCATCCTAGGTTATCATATTTTACCTCATGTTAGTCTTCGTCATCAGCCGCTCGCTATACAAATTAGTCTGACATTATCGATAGTGATGACAGTGATAGGACTCATCAACGGAATTCTTTCTTTTATTACATTCAACAACAAGAGATTATGTGAGGTTGGTTGTGGTTTTTATCTATTAGGTTCATCGATCACTACTATCTTGACGATGACTGTATTTACACTGAAGTTTTGGATTCTTATATTTTCACAGATGGGACTTATTACTAACAGATCATTTCTTCATATTCAATGTATTTCAATCGATTTTCTCATTCGAATCTGTCTGAGTATGGACCAATGGTTAAATGCATGTGTAGCCATTGAACGAACAGTCAGCGGTATCAAAGGAATCAAATTCGATAAAAAGAAGAGCAAGCAAGCAGCAAAATCGATAATTCTCGTTCTTATTTTATTAACAACTGGCACTTGTATTCATGATCCTTTGAATCGAAGCCTGTTGGATGATGATGATAATGAGAATGAGAATGAGAAGAGAATCTGGTGTATTGTCAGATACCCACCAAATGTCCAAGTCATCGACAACATGATTCAGATTTTTCATTTTACGGTTCCGTTGGTCATAAATTTGATTTCAGCTCTTCTTATTATCACCATAACTGCTCGTCAACGATCATTAGTCCGCAGAGATAAGTCTTATATGCAACACTTATCTGATCAATTTAGACAACATAATCATCTTCTCATCTCTGGATTTACATTAGTGATTCTAGCTTTTCCACGCCTGGTTATTATTTTTGTATCCGGATGCATGGGATCAGCTCGGAAATCATGGTTGACTCTTGCTGGATATTTTATTTCATTCATCCCACCCATGTTAACCTTCGTTGTGTTTGTCGTCCCATCTAAATCGTACAAGAAAGAGTATTACATAACTATTAACCACTATCTAAAAACAATCAAGGCTCGTATAGGCATACGACAATGACAGCAGCTCACTAATCCACTAGCCATCGGTGCACCATAACCACCGATGATGACTTTTCGCGTTTGATATCGCTTGAATTATCACATGAGGAACAATTAGATTTTAATCTATCTTTTAATCAATAAAAATCGAATAAAATTATGGTTTTTCCAAGTTTTATTTTCCACAGAATGGATGCCTTATAATATAATTTAACCTATTTGTCATTTCTAAATCGATTTTAAACATATAAAAAATGCTGATAAGCGGGTGTGGCTGTGACTGTGAGTATGACTGTGGAGTGCGGATATCTACTTCAACACTACCCATGTCTGCACAGTCATGGCCACAGCGATGCTCTCGATAACTTACAATCTCATCTTGTCAGTTTTACTATGTATGAGAAAATAAAAAATAAGATGTTTTGTGACATTGTCAGAGCTATATCTTTATATCATAATCTTTTTTTTTAATTTGCTAAATTTTATCCGTGACGTCCATATTTTTTTTTTGTGCTTTTTATACAATTTTTTTTTTTCGGACGTCTACGAACATAGAAGTGAACAGACAATATAACGATGACAAACAAAGAAAGCATGACAAGAAAGCAAAAACGAAAGAATGAAAATTGAAATCGAGGCAGTAATGTAGAGATTGGCGTGCATTGTTGTTCTTCTTTCGTTTATTCTTCTCATACCGTATATCTTGACACCGAAGACACTATGTCGAGGGAACGAATCGAACCTTCTGATGCCTGACTAACAGTCAGATGCATAGAACCACTATGCCATCCCCGGTATCATGATTTGTTGACCTTACACAATCGAAGGAAAATTTTCAATCGAACATACTAACTTCAGACTATATATGAACCCTAAATCTCTTATCTGATAAGTTCTCTCAATCACTATCACATGAAAAAATCTGCAGTAGATGGGTGTGAGTGAATTTGAGGCTTGGCATTCACTTCATTCTCACACGCATACTCATACTCACACCCTTATTTATAATAAATTTACGTAATAAATGATACCAAAGAGAATAGAAAAAGAAAAGAAAACACACAAATGAACATTATGAAAAAAAATACATATTTATCAAAAGCATCTGAATAATTTCTGTAATGGCTACATGAGCATGAAATCAAGCTTCCTGATTAAAAAGGCGTGTGTGATTCTCTTTAATTGTTGATACTCTACTATTTAACAAAACGAATGTTTGATCGATCGAAGCCATCAACCACTTTATGAACAATTAATGAGACATTGTTCGAGGAATTAAAAATGAATTCTTTGTTCCAATGAATAATCTATGCACTGTTTTCTTTACTAATTACATCTATTTCTACTTTTTCTCCATGAATATATTCCGAAGATTTTCATATAATATAATCGAGAAACAATAAACTAACATTATTATAATTTTCTCATTACTAGCAGCTTCTAGTTTCCTAATAATGTATCTTGAAAGAAGCCTGTTTACAGTGACAACAACATAATAATAAACGTGAATGATCAAACTAACGGCATTGACTCCGTCATATTCACTTATAAATTAATACATCAATTAGAATCAAGGACATGCCTCAGTCATGCGTATATAACGTAACAAAAATAACACTGTTACCAAACGGCACGCTGCTATCTCTAGCTTTAAAACAGAGAAGGTGTTGAACGAATAAATAAAATAATAAATTGTCTTCTCTTGTTAACAACATAAAAGTGTTGTTATTTATTTTACTATTGAACATTTCAACAAAACAAATGTTAAGCCTGATGATATTAACGTGTTATTGTGATGCATCTAATGTTTGAGATTATGATGTCAATAAATATGTGCATATTTGAAGCTTGTCTACTAATAGATTTATATTTCTAGAATTTTGCTACATATAGATATTATTCTCAAATAAACATATTATTAAGTACAATCATATTTGGAAATAATATTTTAAAACAATTCATACAAAGACGGAAAAAAATTCACTAGCAGCTTACTTATTATTTTATTATTGTTTAATAGTGTTATACATCTAGCTCAAATCCAATTTGTAATTTTAATAGCCAATGGATTTTACTGCAAAATGCATTCTATAGCAAGTTTTTATAGATAAACTATGATAGCAATGTTTCTAAAATACCGGACACGGAGCTATTTTTAGACCATAGAAGACTTTATCGAAGCTATTTTTAACAATATGATTATAAAAGGCATAAAATCCTAAACAAAATGAGAGATTTCTGTATTTTCCAGAACATTCCCTTAAAAAGTTAAAGGCATAAAAAACCGAAAAAAAAGTGATGCTTCTGTCGATTTTTTCAATAAATTAAAATTGTTACGCTTTTTATGTTGATTTTAACTTTTCTCAGAGTAGATTTTTAGAAAGTAAAACTACTCCCTGTTTTTTTCAGAATTTTGTACTGGGTGTGGGGTGTGGGTGTGGGTTTATAGGAAAGAATAACTATACGTACACACCTACATCCACATTCATACCCATACTGTGGTCTCAAGCGCACATTAGGCAGACGGATAATTTGAAAACAAAGCTGATCACTAGAGTTTTCTATAGCAAAAGGGGAATGGCAGATGAATCAGTCTCGTAGTGGCATAATAAGTTGCTGAATTGAGCCTCGACGAAACAGATAACAGCATTACAAGCACAAGTAAGAGAAAAAATAAGAAGAGCTGCGTTCGCATTCAAGACTAAAAAAAGGGGAGAAAGAGCAATAAGTAATTGTGTAAAATGGTGTTCATCTCGAATCAACATAGTTATCCGATTCCTGATTTAAACTGTATTGCAAATTGCTTGAGCACTTTTCTACATTTTCTGTTACGAACGACTTCAATTCTTCGTTGCATCAGTTAAAATAGTAATGAATATGAAGAAAACAAATTTGAATAACATTATTCACTGTGTACAACTATGAATTCAATTTTGTTGTTTATTAACTTCGAGCAAAATATCGAGTAGGTAATCGCCCTTGTGTAGCTCTGCTCTGTTTTTTGTGTACATTCAGTAGATATTTGATTTGCATATTATATGGTTTATTTGTTTCTAACAAAACATGCTGAATATGGCGGAAATCTTTTATGCATAGTGCAGAAAACCACTCGATACACTTACAAAACCATTCATATGAGAGAGTACAGATGTAGTATGTTCCACCAAGCGAAATTGTTTTCGTTTTATGATACATCATAATACACTATGGTTCTTGGTCGTCCCCACAAACCTTGTATTCACTTCAGTGCTTTTCATAAACCTTCTTATATTGAATCAACAGGTAAGAAATGCATTCTTTGCAGTCTTATATAGCTGAATATATTTACCTGGAGTTTTGTCTTTTCGTACTTGATATTTTACATGACTAAAGCCTATGCAAACATTAGACTGTATATAAAGTGTATCTGTGTTACTTTTACTTCGCTTGTCTTTTCCATAGAAATATAATTTAACTCTTCTGTGAAACATCTGTTCAACTTTACACTATTTTTCGAATTTGAAAATTGCTTAAATGACAATGAAGTTTGCAATATTAATCGTTAGTCTTCATCTTTGCTGTTCATGTGTTCAAGGTAATAGGACCAAGTAACAAATTTGTAACTACTGCACGATTTAAAATTTAAAATTGCGTAGGATTAACAATCAAATATTCATCCGGATGTTCGGTAGACCTTTGCACATTCGGTAATAGTGGCAGTAGTTGTTCTTCACCTATATGCTATCGTTTTGAAACATCGAAAAATGAAACATTGTGTGCTCCTCAACTCATCTGTTCAAAACTCGACCCGTGTATCAATGGAACACGATGTTCATTGAATACATCAGTTTGCATTATAAACAGCTGTTGTTCACAACCAATCTGCATGCCTCTCTTGTTGGGTAGTATGTGTACCAACGGAACAAACAGCAGTAGTAGTACAAATCCAACAGTCACAGGTACGAGTACCATAGCCAGAGTTTTATTTCGGAGAAGAAAGTTATATGAGTAATATCAGGAAAATATCGTTTCGTTTGAGATGATGATTGTTTCACCAGAGAGGGAGAAAATGTTCAGCACTGGCTACGCCATTAATAGTATAACGCCTTTATTACTTTAAGATTTAAAATGTGAGTTTTTTTATTAATCAGGTGCGACATTAACATGATTATAAGTCATTTTTAGCGCTAAAATTCTTCCGGTAAACTCATACGATTTTCGGCAAGATTCTTTCCATTGTATTCAACCAAATATTGATCAAATGGTTACTGACACTCTTAAAGTGGGCTATCTCTGAGTATCGCAAGGTTTTAAACGACAGCATTTTTGTTTTTTCAATTTTTTGTTCTTCTCAAAGAAAACAATGTTGAATAGATTGCATATTGAATTAAAACTACCTTTGAAAAATTTTGCACAAGAACTTATTCAATTCGTATCAATTTGACAAACTCACTTTTCCTGTGCAGCACTCTAAGATCGATCTTACATTTTTGTTTGTGTTGACGTTCACATTATTCTATGATCAGACGATCCTTTCGGCATCCTCTGACGTTAAAGCTATTTTCGTTAGATGGCTAGTATAATGCAGTTTTCAAATCTCTCGTCACAGATGGTATGATCTTGAAGAATAGTGATCAAATATACTAGATCAATTATGATATCGTACCCGGTTGCAATGTTACATACACGAACGTTATTAATCGAATAATTTTGCTCGTCTATCTCAATAACAATGCCATAGATTGTTAGAGTTAATGATCTTTATGTAATCGATGATTTCGGTTGCTGGACAATATTTATATTACCAATATGTATAAGATTGAAGTGTGAAGTTTTTCAATAGCTAGTATTCTTAATAGCAATCTTTCTATACTTCACTATGTATTATAGATAAAGAATATTTGGTCAACATGTGTTGAACTTTTTAAAGAAAAACTTTAGGAAAATAAAAGCTGTTAGCGCAGTCCCTTGCGGGATTAAAAATGTGAAAGATGATATAGCTGTCACAGCCGATGTTCGAAAAGCTCTCGTTTTTTATGCATATTGATGCACATTTCTTCATAATAGTTTACCGCATATTACAGACTTTCAACAGGATTATACTACGTATATGATTCAATCATATATTAGTTATGCATAATCTCTGATATTTCTTTGAAGTCTTCTATCACAGTCTATAATGACCCTGATTACTGTCTGTGATGGGTTCAGACGTCTGTCTGTCACGGTCTATGATGGGTCCTAAGCCCTATCTCTCACGGTCTGTGATGGATCCTAAGCCCTATCTGTCACGGTCTGTGATGGGTCCAAAGCCTGTCTATCACGGTCTATGGGGGGAAGAGGGGAGATCCGAATTTCTACCTTTAAACACTTCAACACTCCTTTCAGATCGTGTTTCACAAAAATAAATAGATTTATTAGTTACGCAATCTTCTATGACGTATTGAGCTCATGAGCCAAGTGCAGTTCTATAAAATGAGTTATGTCGTATGAAATTAACTATACAGAGGCTAGAAAGTCGTTTATCAAATAGTTATTGTAATTAACGACCATCATGTGAACTATCAATACTTTTAAATAACAGAAGCCATGTAGATCATCATGGAAGTTATAAGTACTTTGATTTATGGAACAAGTACTAATAAAGACTTGATGAAAAAAACTTGTATATTCTCAAGGAAAACCTATAACGTTATTGTGGTACTAGTGTAACTCTCCTGTATTTTATCTAAGGCCTATTCCATGGGGTTTCTCCCAAGAAAAACACAACTATATTCAAATCGATCGA